GCAGTTCAATATTCAGGAAGTAAAATGGAGTGCTTTGAAAAATTGTACTTCCACCTGTGTTTCAGGTTAGATTGTTTCTGGGCACACTCCTGACTTCTTTTATGATTTCAGGTAAACTCTGAGTCTCTATTGTTATTTGGACTTTTAATGTCTGCTTTGTACTCCTCTTAGGGGTATTGAAAATGTTAAAGCATTTGGGCAGGGGGATTGTGTAAGGATCTATTTTTAAGACTTTTCAGAACTCATCTTAATAATAGTCTCTATTCCCATGAGGGAAAAATGAAAGGCAAGTCTTACATCAGCCTATTCTGATCACTTACTGAGGAATCACAGTGTTCCCAAGGTCATAAACAGTGAGAAGTAACTCTCTAAACCCATGTTGGAGGGCACTACGTCAGAAACACAGTGAAAATTACTCTTTAACTGGACGTGATTCTCATTTTAAATGCGGCTGTTTATATTCTTTTATGAACTGCCTTTCTTTTTATGTTGAATTTGTTTCACCTTGTAAAGATTAAGAAGAGCACGTTCTAGCTTTTAAGTGTGAGAATTGGATTATTAATAGTTTTTGGATAAAAATCATCTCTGAGGATTAGATTATTAATAGTTTTTGGATAAACCATTTCTTCTACCAAAAGCAGAACATTCTCACAGACTTTGGCTCTCAGTGAAAAATAAAGTGTCATTTAAAGTTTTTCACTAATTCAACATTTAAAGCTTTTTATTTCCTTCTTGATTTATGACACAGCTGTTTCTGAATGGAGAAAATGCAAGAACTTCACAAAATCTAATTAGATTATGTTCTTTGTGTGTCTCCCACATGTAGTGGAGGCTACTAATCAAACCTTGATATTTTTCTATTCATTTTTTTGAATTTAATTCAAGAAAAGATGGCTATAATTAGGGTGCATTTCTGCTACCACATTGTGTTATAATAATCTCTTCATGTCATTTAATTTCTTAATATATGATCAATTCATTAGTAGCACTGTGCTGTCTGACATCAAACCTTATGTACCTCTGTGTGCTTATGCTCTTGGCTGTACCTTCTAAACTACTAAGACTTGTTCATAAACAATGGAGCTCCATCATTCTAACAGTCATTATGCTAGTTCACTCTAGTTGAACTCCACCTTCTACTTTAATCCGAAATATGTAATTTGACTTTTGGAGAAAATGATGCATACTATTTTAAAGAAATACAATATAGATGACTAAATCCAGGATAAAAGAGATACTTTGTTGTTTAGGTGATATTCTTGACATTGTGGATGCATTTCACATTTCTCTCTCTGTCTTTCTCTTTTTTAAAATGTAGCTAGCATTCCTTTTCCATGCCCTCCACTTTGTTTTTACTCCTTCTTCCTTTCTTATTCAAGACTCCTCTAATATTAGCATTTTTAGTAGTTTGCCCAATATTGATATCTAATTTTTATTACCTGGTATTTCAAAATACTTTTCTTCTGAGACTATTATAAACAAAATTCCATGCAAAATGGACTAATAAATGGCTCACCTGATATGGTTAATGGAAGATATGTGGTTTTGAGTAGCTTCTCTTAAAAGTGAAAGAATCAGTGTTGAAAAATTCCGTATAAAATTAATTAAAATTATAAGATTATTGAGTCTTTTCTTTGTGGACTAACATTTATTTATTTGTGGTTTGTTTGAGTTTTAATGACAGAAATGTATTTTCAATTAGTAAGCATCAAATTCTTTATTAAGCAGTGATTATTTTTGGTCTTATGACTATGAGAAATCAGGTGAGCATAAGGAAAATTGACTAAGTATGGAAAAATTACATAAAAGAAAAATCATTTCATCTACAAAGATGTATGATTTTTGCTTTTCTTTCCCCTATGTCTAGATGATTAGAGATGATTGTATCTTGGATTTCCCCCCCAAAATTGGAGGCTCTTTAAAAAAATAGATATCTAAGGATACAGAGTATAGTGGGGAATTAAAGAAATCACCTACTACATAGAAAAAATAGTAAACAAAAAGAAATCACAGAATCACATAAAAAATTCTGTTTGTTATAGTAACATATTTAAATGATGTTAAATAGCTGGTATAGATTGCATCCTCTATAAATCAATCTTTTTAATAATGAGTGTCCAAAATGATCATTTACATATATGTAGTTTTTGAGTGTATAAATATTAATATAATATATACACACACACACACATTCTGGTACATGTGAAACATAAGGTAACATGAAACTGATGCATTCAAATATTCCTAATATGAGTTTGAGTGTTTTCAAGACTAAAGGCAAAATACATTTTTTCATGGCCTTAGTTTATGCAAAAAAATCAAATGAAAATGTGGTGATCAACTTGCAGGAGCAAGAAAATGGAACTGTATACACATTTTATGATTAAAAAGTAATTAGTTATGTAGGTACTATTGGCTATTAGAGCTTCTAGGCTATAAATTATAATATGTTACTGTTTTGGTTTTAAATTTTAGTGTCTACATAGCCAGTGGATCAGATGTCCAAGCTGGGTAATCATTGGCATTGTGCTTCAGCCTTTAGATCTAACAAGTAAAAATGAAAAACATTTGGATATGAAAAAAAAAAAACAACAAAGAAACAAGGGGATGGAATACAGCCAATTCATAAAATGAGGAACAGTTGGTTTACCCTAATTATAGCCATCTTTATTTTTCTTTATTCTTCTGTATGTATCAATTGTAAGTTTGGTGGAAAATAAAACCTTTAGCTCAATTATATAAATAAATTTATTGCAGATTTCCTAAAGTGACTTTTTATTTTCCTTAAAACTCAAATCTTAAAAGTCGGTTGTAGTTTGTATTGACCACAAGACTTTCCTTTGATATGGTATAACAGTTCATTTTTCATTTTTTAAGACTGAATATCTCATACCTACCATCATCTAAATGAGAAAGTATAGATGATAAAAGCAGGTCAATATAAAAAATTCAATTAATTAAGAGAAATTTTACACAGGAATTAGGTTGAGGTGTGCAAAAGTATGGCTGAATCTAAGAAAATGATAGAATGTTTATGTATAACCATAATACATTTTCAGATTGTTTATTGTTGCAGATCAAGCACTAAAATAAGACCTAAGTTCTGACTTTCATTTTTCATAGATGTTATCATGGATAGCATAGGTTATGGCAGTAAGTGACTCACTTTGTAATGGAGATAAACTTATTGATATTATAGAATACTTCATACTTTATTATTTTCTCCTTGTTACTACTTTTATGACTTTTTATCATGAATATATTTATTCTAAATTCATCTTACATGGGAAATTATATGTTTCTTTTGTAAATATTTTAGAAAGAATGATGCCTGTTGACTTTATTGACAGGTGCAGAATACATGATCTCTTTGGGAACAAACATGGGATTTTGATTGTTATTTGAGAGTCATTAACCATAGATACATGAGTAAATGTGGGACAAAGTCCTACAACTTTCAGTGACAAAGGCCTGTTGCTATATTATATGGTTTTATATGTTATAAATTTGATAGCTTTCTCCGTGTTAATTTTCCTCTATATTTTCTTTGAGCTGAAAAAACAATTGCCTCCACCTCACCTCCCAACAGACACACACATAAAAGTTGAAGCTTCAAAATGGAAATACATATAGTATGTATCTATTGAACTCTGGTCATTCTAAGTAAACAGGAATATAAAAAAACATGGTCAGTTTAAAACTGAAAAATTCTTTAGTATTTTGTATTTCAATTGCTTGTTTGCTATGCAACACTAGCAAAGTTTTGGACTGATTCACAGCATAATGCGGCAAACTTAAGAAATGGTAGGAAAGATTATAGGTGATTGATCGTATTATTTTTAAGTATGAAGCATGTTTTAAATCATGTTTTTAATCATATCAGAACCCCCAGAACTTAACATAGAAATTAGAATAGTGATGATACTTGCATCTCCATTCTTAACCATTTTTTTCTATACTTTCGCAATTGTTTTCTCCTAATGCAGAGATTTCATCAAGCCCTTAGTCTTTTGCAGTTTATTTATTTATTTATTTTTACTTTCATTTTATCATATTATGGGGGTACAGATATTATTAGGGTTACATATATTGCCCCTACCATTCTTTCCCCCGCCCCCTTGATGTTTAATGTTTACCAAAACATCAAGCGTGTCCTACCCCCAGGTGGTGCACTTAGTCTTTTGAAACCATTTTGACTCCCCATTCCTTATAGCAGTACCTCTTAATGAGAGGAGCACATTAGAATTGCCCAGGGAGCTTCTATAATGTGCACATATCTAGAAGGTATCATTAGAAAAATCTGATTTTTAGGTAGGAGTGGCAAATATATTTGACAAAAACTTTGCCCATTGATTCAGATGCTTCCTTATGTCATATCCCAACCAGACTTTGTCACCCTGTCTCATGTGCTTTCCTCCTGCTACTGTCTGTTCTGCTTTAACTGCGCCAAACATAAGTATTAGACAAATACTTAGTTCTATTTCTTGCCTACAAACGTTTGTACATTGCTGTTTCTTTTGCCTAGAATACCTTTTTCTTCCCTTTCGTCCCTCTCTCTCCAATACATGTCATTCAGCTGTCAAACAATGACTTGCCTACCTAGATTCTCCTCTAATGGTAAATCTTCACTTACTCCTCCAGGTAGAAATAGTCAATCTGTCTTTTGTGTTTAGGATTTATTTTTGACTATAATATTTTCAAGTGTCCATCTGTCCCATTAAACTATAAGCTCAGTGATACCATGTAATTGATCTTCTTCTTCTTTATGTTAAATGGATACATCAATGAATAATAAAGTGAAAACTTATTAAGAATTTAAATGTACGTTATTTTTATGAACATTGTTTTTAGGGGCATCATTAAGTTGAGATTCATGATCAAACACCAAGACCTACATTGATACATACCTAATATTATTTGTCTTAATATGTATTCCCATTAAAACTATGTGCGTATTGATACTTATTTTTCCTCTTCGTTTTTTTCCCTTGTGTCTGCAGACGGAATCTCACAAAACTGTCCCTTATCTTCAGTCACATGCTGGCAGAAATCAAAGCTATCTTTCCCAATGGTCAGTTCCAGGGAGATAACTTTCGTATCACAAAAGCAGATGCTGCTGAATTCTGGAGAAAGTTTTTTGGAGACAAGTAAGTAAAAGTCAGTTTTGTAGTTTAGATCCATCTTTCAATGGTTACCTAGTCCTGCCTCCAGTTGCATATGGTGTAGAATAGATTTTACTTGAGTATTTTGAAATGTATATGAGTGTTTTTGATAAACGTTTTGATTGGTAGATTTTGGTGACACCACCAAAAGGGTGTCTTAATAATGAAATAGTTTTTTTAATTATTATAAAATAATATCAGATTAGACAGTGTTATTTAACTAATTGAGCATTCATTGAGTTAGTTTGCTCTAGGTAGCAGAAATATATAAGGTATTGTCTTTGTATGAGAAGGTCATAACTTCTTGTGAATTTACATCTAACACATATATACAGTATAAAAGGTAGAAAGGAATAGATTCTTTAAAAATGGCATAAATAAATTGCTCTGATACTTTAGAGAGAACAGTTGCTTCGAGATTGGACTAATCAGGGACTGCCTCCTAGAGAATGTGGTGTGTTACGCTTAGTTAAGATTTGAAATTGAGGAAAAAGAAGGCCCTAGAACCCTGATCTACCCTTTCTTTGATTTATTGTACAGAAAGTATACAGGTGTGAATATGATATAGAAGATAATATTATCACAGAGTTGTAGTACAGCACAAAGTAGCTGGATAAAGTTGTTTTCTATTAGGTACTTCCTACTCAGCTACAAATTATGGTAAGCTCAGTAAATAGATAATAGGAATTGAATGTCTAAAGTCAGCATAATTTATATAAAACTTGCAAAACTTTTGCCAAATGTCTCAGTAAGATGACTAAGAACTGAGCATCAGGAGACAAGCGGTTTCCACAATAACCTTTTTTTTTTTTTTTTTTTTTGAGACAGAGTCTCACTTTCTTGCCCTGGCTAGAGTGAGTGCCGTGGCGTCAGCCTAGCTCACAGCAACCTCAAACTCCTAGGCTCAAGTCATCCTCCTGCCTCAGCCTCCCAAGTAGCTGGGACTACAGGCATGTGCCACCATGCCCGGCTAATTTTTTGTATATATATTTTTAGTTGGTCAATTAATTTCTTTCTATTTTTAGTAGACACGGGGTCTCGCTCAGGCTGGTTTCGAACTCCCAACCTCGAGCAATCCGCCCGCCTCGGCCTCCCAGAGTGCTAGGATTACAGGTGTGAGCCACCACACCTGGCTCTCAATAATCTTTTAAGGATCTCTTTTAATGAGAGTGCACCCTCACAATGTCTAGAATATAGGCAAAACCCTGGCTGAATAGTAAGGAGGAAAAGTGATTACTTACACATGGATTATTGTTTAATCCTATATTAAAGGTCTATATTTATTCCTTAACTGATGAAATTAGACATATAAAATGTTGGTATACACTTTACATTTTAGTACTTTGATAATGGTGAACTGTAATATTGATTTTTCTCTTCTTGTTTACAAAGTGCTGTTTTTATCTAGAGCTACCACCAAGATTAGGATATAATTACATAGAGTAATACACATTTTATTAAATACACAATTTTTGGCTTTAAAAATATTGAAGCCTATTTCCCACATCTTATACTAAAATGTATTCTGAATTATTTCTAGGCATTAACGGAGAAAATACCATTATTGCAATTAACACAGACATTTTGTGTTCTAGAAATCTAGCTATTTGTAATATTCCTATTCACAAATGTGGTGGAATTTTTAACAAAAGGTTTATTATCATCTGTATTAAAATAATAGTAGAGAGTATACTAATTAAATATTTGTAGAAAGCAGAAGGTCTTGCTAAGTTCAGGATGTAAGAACTGAGGGGGTTTCCTGCAGTTGCAGTTCATGTATTAACACTGTAAGCATAGTACAAACAGTTAGTAACCTTCAAAATAAACTTTCTCTGAAAGTTTAAAAAAAATATATAGAACAAATTGTTTGTGGTATTTCTTTTTGAAAACTGAAAATTCTGGTGGGTTATAAAATTGTTTACTTGTCATAAGGTCAGTAAAAAATGGAAAGATTGTTCACATGTTTTTTAAGAGAGGAGTTTACTTTGCTGGCACTTTAAACCACAGAGAATTATACATTTGAGACATCTTTATTTTCCTTTATTTATAACCACAGACATCAAGGGACTGAAATTTCTGTTCAACTGCTACATGAGTGAAATCACTACTATATCAAATGGGGAATTCTTGAAATACTGATTAAGTATTCTCCCTGCCTACCAAATCCTTTTGCCTTTGCCTCCTGTTTTCACTGAATTGAGAAAGTTGCTTAATTTGTCTTTAACATTTTTATTTTGTGAATAATAGCCAAATTTCAAGCTACTTCTGGAATGTATCCATATTTTTATAGTCATCAAAATTAATGATTCTTTTATTAGATAATTGGAGAAACTATATTCTTCTTGGTTTTCACCTCGTAGTTCCATAGTATTATATTGAATGAATGAATGCATACATGTATAGTGTAATCCTTTCAAAAGCTTAGATTATTTTATTTTCATTATGCTCTAATACTAGTTTGTATTTTCCTAAAACTTAGTTCTCCTATGGCAGTATGCCTGTCATCTATCCTGCTACACATTGAGGCCATGTGAGAATGCTTTCATTTAACCTAGCTGGTACCTTTAAACTTGAAAACAGCTTTAAATAGAACCATTTAATCCATTCATGAGGGCAAAGCTTTCAGGACCTGATCACCTCTTAAAGTCTCACTATCTTAATATAGTCACAATGATGATTAAATTTCAACATGAGTTTTGGAGGGAGCAGTCCAACCATAGCACTGTCCTTTTTGAATTTATGTCGGTACCACCTCTCTGCTGAGGGCCCAAGCCCAGCAACTGAGAGACTCTGCCTGCCTTGAGGCCCAAAAGGAGCCATAACACAACATGTACCATGGCCAGCTGGTTGGGAAATTCTGCATTTGTTCAGTGTTTATGAAAATTATTTTAATATTTTAACAGTTTAATCCTGCTCTTGCTTTCTTAGCCTGTTGACCAGGATATTGTAGAAATATGTAGGAAAAGAAAAATAACGTTAATTGAATAAATGTATCTAAGTAATTTCTGCAAAATGAAACCAATAGCAAACTATATCTCCATGCTCTGGAATAGTAGTTTATAATCTAGAAACTAAGCATGAAGCTCAAAAAATGTATTACTGGCTGTTTAAAAAAAAAGAACATGAATGTGACTGGACTCTTGAGTAGCTGTCATTTTTCTCAGCAAGTCAGGTGGCACCTCCTGGGCCACTCATGCTACGTACTTCTTGACATTAAGGAGAGTTAGACATACATTTTTCAAACCAACTATAATTCAGCAAGAACCAGGGATTCTAACCCTTGAATATTCTTTTTTTTTTTTTTTTTTTTTGAGACAGAGTCTCACTCTGTTGCCCTGGCTAGAGTGAGTGCCATGGCGTCAGCCTAGCTCACAGCAACCTCAAATTCCTGGGCTCAAGCAATCCTCCTGCCTCAGCCTCCCGAGTAGCTGGGACTACAGGCATATGCCACCATGCCCGGCTAATTTTTTCTGTATGTATTACTTGGCCAATTAATTTCTTCCTATTTATAGTAGAGACGGGGGTCTCGCTCTTGCTCAGGCTGGTTTCAAACTCCTGACCTCCAGCAATCCGCCCGCCTCGGCCTCCCAGAGTGCTAGGATTACAGGCGTACCGCGCCCGGCCTAACTCTTGAATATTCTTATGCATCCTCTCCTCCCCATACTTAGTTTGGTTCAAGTTCTCATCTTCAAGTTGAAGTTAAAAACTCTTGCCTGGATTATTGCAATAGCCTTCTGATTGGTCTCCCTATCTGTTATAACAGCCTGTCCAATTGTTCTTCTTAGTGAGACCAGTTAGCTCTCTAAAAAGTAGAATTAATTATTCCAATCTTTTGCTTAAAGTTCTTCCATAATATTGGATTCAAAGTCTAAAACCTCATTAAAATGACAAGCTTTAGGAAGTGTTTTTTCTAGCTTAATTTTTTATACTCAGCTCATCTCCAAAGGAATAAACTCCCAACACTCATGTTTCCTAATGTAATGAGGAACACTTAATACTCATGTTTATCATTTTCCACTCCTTGGTATCTTTGTTTCCCTGTATACCCTAGTGCTTGGATAGCCAGTCACCCATGCCCTACCCAGGGTTACCACTTTGGAAGCTTTTATTGACTATACTTATCTAAAGTGAATATCCCTACTCTGTGCTGCCATGTACCTGGGCTCACATCTATCATCCTAGATTACAATGAATTGCTGACATGTCCCCATTTCCCAATTGACAGATTTCTAATAGGTTAGAAAGTTTCTTCGAAGGCAGAGGCTATGTCTTACTTATTCATGTGTTTCCTGTAATGTGAAGCACTAACAGTTGTTAACAGACTATGTGAATAATCAATGGATGAATAATGTCTATCCTCTGTTCTCATTTTGCAATGACTTTATTATCTACAAATTGTTCTTTTTAAATTATCATTTAATGCAGTTCTACTCCATGGACCCTCTCTTCTCTATTTTCTTCTGTCTCAGAATTTTGACACCTTTCTTCAAGTCCAGTTCTGAAGTCCCTTTTTGTGGATTTTTCTTAGTCATATACACCCCTCCACATCCTCAATGTTAATGACTCCATTGTTTTCCTGTTATATTTTAGACTCATGTGTGTTATAGAATGTATGTTTACAATGGGGGTCTTTCCTGTTTGATTGTAAGGCTCCTCAATGACTTTTTATCTAAGAATTAGTGAAAACAGATATATGTATTAGAATTATTATATGTCATTTTCTGTGTTCAGTGCCTTCAGTTATGCTAATTCCATTTTCAATATAATAAATGTAAACAGTTCTTCAAATGATTATTGAATGAGTCCTTTGAATACTGTATGTATGTATTATAGACAGTATTTGTTGGTTGAATGCATGATACATGATGTAATTTTTCTACCATTTAGGCACTCTTTTTCTCCACTTATGCCTTCTTCTTCTGTCAAGTTGGTTTATTTGGCTGTTCTATGACATGTCTGCAATTATGGGTTCCTATGTCTTTGCT